CGGGGGCTGGGGGCGCCTGGGGGTTGTAGTCCCGGGAGGGGGACCCAAGGAGAGGGGAAGTGGAGTCCTAGAGGCGGGTGGGGTAGGGCAGAGCCAGAGAAGCAGGGAGACGGAGGAGATGCGGCGGGAGGCAGAGATGCTGGCGTAGGGTGGGGGTGGGGCGGCCGAGCAGAAAGCGGGTAAGGGAATGAATTAAGGGAATCACCTGGGAGAGGTGCTGTGGCTCCTCTCCCAGGTTATTCCATTAATTCATAACCTGGGAGAGGTGCTGTGGCTCCCTCGACACCAGGAGACAGAGTCGGATTTTATGTTTTGTCTGGGAGCATCTGTGCGAACCTGTGCGCGACCACCCGTGCGCGCGCGCGCATGTGCGTGTGTCCCTGCAGGAGGCTCTTTGGACACTAGAAATAGCAAGACTGACCCTCTAGGTGGCTTTTGTGATGCCAGGAATCTTCCAAGCGTAGCTGAGAAGAACAAGGGGCATGTTTTTTTTAACAGCCTTCCCCAGTGTAAGTGTGAGAGTCCCTGGGCAGTAGTGGGTCTCAGAGCTCAGTTTGTCTACTTGGAAGGACAGGAAGCTCACTACCTTCCCAGACGCGGTGGCCTATCCTTAGATGGCTCTGACTGTTAAAAATGAAATTCATCAAAAAAAAAAAAAAGAAATTCGTCCATATTGGGAGAGAAATTCTGGTAGCCCGAGGGTCCAAGGCGCCTGCATCCCTCTTCTTAACGCCCACCTCTCCTCTCCCCATCTCCACATCCTACCATCGCATCAGGACTTTCACTCCCAAAATCGGGCAACCTGTTTTTGCCAAGTACCCACTGATACCAAATCCATTGACCACTGGTCAGGCCTCACCCTCCAGGGTCTTTCAGGGATGTATGACCCTGATGACCTCTCTCTTCTTTAAGTACTCCCTGCCTTGGCTCCTGGCCTGCCTCCTGCCTACCATCTCCTGCCCCCAAAAATTCTGGATGTTGTTTCCCAGTCTCCTTTTAGGCCCCTCCCTTCTCCCACACTTCTCAACAGCACCAGGGTTCCTTGGGCTACATCCTAGGTTCTCTTCTTTCTTTACCTCCTTGCCTCCCCAGGTTCAGCTGTACCTCTATCCCTATGACACCCCCATCTATGCCTGCAAGCCAGATCCTGCCCCTCAAAGGCAGCACCTACTATGTGCCTGAGCACACAGTGGGCACAAGAACACAGAGACCACAGATGCGATTGGAGAAATGAGTAGATCCATAAGTCTAGAGAGCGAGGCCAGGGTTCTGATGTTAGAAGCTCCAAGCCTGGTGGCCTCACCTTGCCCCACAGAGCTCCTTCCTATATCTCCATCAGAGATGGCATCTCCCTCGCCCTGACACTCAATGCAGACAGAAGGCTGCCCTTGGCTCCCTCCCCCATCCATTTGGAGCATCCACTGGGTCACAGGTGCTACCTCAGTAGCTCCCACGATTCTCCCAACTTCCTAGTAGCTGCTGCTATTCTCCGAAGTGTACAGACTGGGAAACCGAGGCTCCTAAGGTTAAATAATGGGTCCAAGTTCACAAGGTTGGTACAGAGCAGGGCTGGGGCTCTCGCTTGCAGCTTTTGATTACAAAGCCCTTCTTGTGGAACCTCAGTCTTCGCTCCTCTCTCAGTGGCCAAATCCAGAGCTGCCTCTGGGGTCCTCCGTCTCCCCCCCACCTCAGGTCAGGGGATGCAGCTTTCACCTGGGGCATCAGCTTCCACCTGGACCCTCAGAACAGCCTCTTCCCTTAGTCTTCCCACCTGCAGCCCCTCTCCGTCACATCCATCTTTCTCCCCAGCTGCTAGTGTGATTGTCCCCAGCACCAGTGTGACAATATCAGTCCCCTGCACCAATAACTCCCACAACCCCCCAGGCTCCCAATCATGCTCCATAGCTGCTCCAGTATCACCTCATCTCTCCCACCAGGTCCTTCTCTGAACCACAGACTCAGGCCTCACCCACACCAAAAAAACCTCGGAATCTTTCCCTCTACCCTGTACGCTGTCTCACCCCTCCTTTGACCGTCATCCTTCTTATCCTTCAAGGCCCAGTTCAGGCCTTGCCCAGCCGTCTAGGCAGACAGGTCCATGAGGTGTGTGCCGAGCTGCGTCCCCGTTAGACCAGATGGGGCCTGGCTTATGCTGCTTGTCCTCAGCAACCAACATAAGGTCAGGCATACAGCAGATGTTCATGAAAAGCCTGCTGATAAGTGAGTGAGGGAATGGCCTCTTCCCTCACACCTTGACCCAGGCATAAAAAGCAAGAAAATAAGCTCCAGGAAGGCAGGGATTTTTGTTTGTTTGGTTCATTGCTGGTTCTTCAGTGGCACTATGGCACCTGGCACACAGTAGATGCTCAATAAATATTTCTTAAATGAATGAGTGAAAGGTCTACAGCTCAAATCTGGCTGTGGTTCTAAAGATGGACGCAGACACACGCGATGTGATAACAACGGTCATTCCTCTCTCCTTTCAGTGATCTTGAACTCATCACATCCAGGATCGCTTGAAGTCCACCCAGTACCCTACGAGCTGGGTGGCCTGAACCACACACACCCTTTCCTGTGCAAGCTCCCTGCCTGAGGGGCCTTTCTAAAGCATCAGAATAACCAGGCCAACCCCTGCTTAGAAAATCCCCCTGGTTCCCCAGGGCTCAGACTTCCCAGCCTGGCTTCCCACTGGAGTGCACACCACCACCCATCACGTGCTCCGATTCCAGTCCCAGTCGTTCTCTGCATTTTCCCACTGCCAGACGTTCCCGTGCAGTTCCTGATCCCTGGAACACCCTGCCCTCTCACACTCCCAAGCCTAATTCCTACTCTTCTTTCTTTTTTAAAAATTTTATTTATTTATTTATTTATTTATTTTCAATTAGCGTTGACATTCAATATTATTTTACATTAGTTTCAGGTGTACAGCATAGTGGGTAGACATTTGTATAACTTAGAAGTTATACAAAAAAACCCGACTAGGCCAGTACCTACCTGACACCGTACATAGTTATTACAATATAATTGACTGTATTCCTTATGCTATGCTTTACACCCCTGTGACTATTTCGTAACTACCAATTTTTTTTTCATAACTATCAATTTGTATTTCTTAATCCCTTCACCTTTTTCACCCAGCCCCCAGCCCCCCTCTCCTCGGGTCACCATCCGTTTATTCTCTGTATCTATGAGTCTGTTTCTGTTTTTGTGTGTCTGTTTATTTTGTTCTTTAGATTCCACTTATAAGGGAAATCATATGACATTTGTCGTTCTCTGTCTGACTTATTCCACTCAGCATAACACCCTCTAGGTCCATCCATGGTGTCGCAGATGGTAAGATTTCATTCTTTTGTATGGCTCTCCTACTCTTCTTTCAAAGTTTAGCTCTTGGAGTCTTTCTTGACCTTCCTGAAGCTGGAGGGAAAGCCTGTGAAATAGACAAATGACCAGGTTTCTGATTCAAGAACCTGGGTTGGGGGTCCAAGAATTTATAATTACCTCTGGCAATTCTTATTTCCAGCCATTATCAGGTAGGCAAGACTAAGGCTAAGTGATGCTGTGTGAGAAACACCCCCAGATCTCAGCAACTTAACCCCAAAGCTCCGTCTTTGCAGTGGGTTTGGGTTACTTCCCAGAGCCTCTGTCCTTCGAAGAGGATCCAGTGCTTCAGGGGGAGCAATTTGTACATATTTATCAACAAGCTGGACTCTGAGTGCCTCAGGCTCAAGGACCCATCTGATTCATCTCTGCCTCCCAATGTACCCGGCACAGGACCAGTACGTGGCAGCCAGGGGCGTCTTTGTAAAACGAAAGTTTGATTGTGACAACACGGATTGACCTTGAGGGTATTATGCTCAGTGAAATAAGTCAGACTGAGAAAGACAAATACCATATGCTCTGAGTTACTGTGGAATCTAAAGAACAAAATAAATGAACAAACAAAAAAGAAACAGACGCATAGATACAAAGAACATTTGGATGGTTGCCAGGTGGGAGGGGGTCAGGGGTCAGGGTGAAAAGGGAAAGGGATTAGGGAGTACACATTGGTAGTTACAAAATAGTCATGGGGATGTAAAGTAAAGCATAAGGAATATAGTCAATAATATGGTAATAACTATGTATAGTGCCAGGTGGGTACTAGACTGACCATCACACTTATATAACCTAAGGCAAGACCAGCAGATCAACCACCAGCCTTCCGCAGAGTCTGGAGAAATACTAAATCATTGTTTTATGCCAGTGAGTATTGAGGTGGTTTGTTATGAAGTAGTAGCTAACTGATACAGCACAAAAACCTTTCTGATTGATCAGAAGTGGGGTTGCTGGTTCAAAGTGCATATGCATTTATAATGTTGGTAAATATTGTCTGGGGAGTAGTATTTTGCATTCCCACCAACAGTGGGTGAAAGTCTTTGTCCCTCCCGCCCCCGTCTTGTCAAAAGAGTGTTTTATCAAACATATAGATTTTTTTTAAAAGATTTTTTTAAATTGGGGAACTGGGGGAGGGGAACAGCATTGGGGAATCAGGGAAGAGGAACAGACAAGTTGTTGTCCTTTTTGTTCTTCAGTCTAGTTGTGGAGGATGTTGCTTCACTGGCCCTTGTTGGTATTATCATTGCGCTCTTCCTGGTTGAGGCAGATTTGTTGCTGGTCACTGGACGGCCGCTCACAGTAGCTTACCAGAGCCCACTGCAGCTCCACTGCAGCCTATGCCATCGCCGGCGACTCATGGCAGCCCAGCTCCAGGTTGAGCTGTTGTTCACCATCTTAGTTGTAGAGGGTGCAGCGTCACTGGCTCTAATGTGGGATCCGAACTGGGGCCCTACTGCTTAGAGCTGGCATTCCAAGCCAAATCTTAACCAATGCACCACTCGGCCGGCCCAAACATATGGATTTTTGGCTAATACAATAAAAAATGGTATTTCGGTATTGTCTTAATTTTTCATTTCTTATTATGTATGAAGTTGAACATCTGCATATGTCTTTAAGTCTTTATGTATTTTTGTTTTTGTGATCTATCATGTATTTTTCACATTTTTTTGTTGAACTGTTGGTTTTCCTTATCTATAAATAGTAGGGATATTAGCCCTTTGATAAGAATTACATTTTTTTCCCAATTTGTCTTTTAAGATTTTTATTGGGGAATTGGAACAATGCTGGGAAATTGGGGGAAGGGGAACAGAGAAGTTGCTGTCGTTTTGTTCTTCAGTCTAGTTGTGGAGGACGTTGCTTCACTGGCCCAAGTTGGCACCATCATTGTGCTCTTCCCGGGCGAGGCA